GCGAGAAGCAAACCCGCCCCCATGGATAGGATGCAAAGAAAGACCGCATTCTTTCCCAATCGGCCAACTTGTAATGCCAAACAGCGAGGGGAGCGTGAGTGGCACCACACTCCGGATCAGACAATGGTTCAAAGAGCCGAGAGGGGAATTGACAGAAACCTGATATCCGTCCGGATGAGAGGTCAGCAGAAGATTCAACAGGAAAGGTGGAATCAGCGTAGGCGAAGTAACCAGTTGTGTCAGACCATATGCCAAGGCAAAGTCATAAACAGATCTCCCCGTATTGAACATCGAAAATAAAATTATACTTACTATTTTTCCAAAATTATACCACGTTTGATGTTTCATGTTTTTTCCCATGCGCCGGGGTTTTTGTTCGCGTTTAGCGTATCTATCTATACCAAGGATGAGCAATACGCAGCCTGCGGGCCGCTTGCGGCCCGTTAAACATGTTTATGCAGCCCGGCAAGCATTTCTAAAATTGAATTTATTTTTTGACTTTCTCCCATCAATATATTGTTATAAAATTAATCATAATAAAATGGTAGTACATACTAAACCGAAATATTTTTTTATGGCGAGTTACTTGTCGACGACGTTTTTAAACATTTTTTGTGACGAGATACACACTTGTCGGTAACTTGTTCAAACATGCTTATCCATAATAGCATGTCAGAAAAGCAAACAAAAAAAAAACGGAAGATTCCGGAGCATAGGCATTTTTAAGAAAAGTGAAAATTAGATTATTTTTTTACTTTCTTTAAAAATAAAGCTATATGCTGAATGTGCTCAGAGACTTTGTTGACATTAAAAGAATATAACATAAAAAGGCATTATGATACAAAACATGAACAACAATATAAAAAACTTAACAGGACAACTCTGGATAGATAAGTTTAATCAAATAGAGAAAGACTTGGGAAAACAATAGGCTATTTTTTAAAATCAAGCTATTTTATTAAATACGGCAGTAAATGCTAGTTTTGTTGTCAGTCAAATACTGTAAAAAAAAATGAAACCCTTTGAGGATGAAGAGATGATAAAAGAATGTCTGGCTGCTGTTGCAGAAATAGCATTACCTGATAAAATAAATATTTTTTCAAACATTAGTTTATCAAGATTCACCATTGCGAGGAGAATTGAAGACTTGTCCAAGAACATAGCAACAATGCTTCGTGAACGCGTTGCAAAAATGGAATACTGTTCTTTGGCACTTGATGAGAGTTGTGATATTAGCGATACAGCACAACGGGCTATATTTTTACGTGGTCTAGACACATTACCGAAATTTAATATTACTGAAGAATTGTGTTCACTGATTCCAATGCAAGGGACTACAACTGGCAAAGACCTGTACAATGATGAATATCTGTGTTGAAAAATTTTTCAATTTCATTAGACAAGATTATTGGTATATTGACAGATGGAGCACGAGCAATGTCAAGCATGGAGGTAGGAGTATCGGGAAGGCTATTTCAAGATATTAAGAAGGTCACAGGAAGGAATATATTTGTTAATCACTGCATAATTCACCAGGAAAATTTGTGTGCGAAAAGATTGAGTTTGCCAAATGTCACAGTACCAATAATTAAACTAATCAATTTTATAAAGTCAGTTAAATAAATTGACGATTAATTTAAAGAATTCCTGAAAGATAAAACTGAATATGGCGACGAGATTTTTAATACCGAAGTACGTTAGCTTAGTAGAGGTGCAATGCTAAAAAGAGTATACAACTTGAAAAGCGAAATACAATTGTTTTTGGATATGAAGGGATATGACTTTCCTCATGTTGGTAAGTAAGAATGGATTTGCGATTTTGGGCTTTCTTGTCCACATCATTCAGCAACTCAATGATCTTAATGTCACAATTTGTATGATAAAATTAAGGGCTTTGAGCGAAGATTAAAATTGTGGAAACAGCATCTTTTGCAGAATAATGCGTCTCACTTTCCACATTTAGAAAAAGAAAACGTTACTACTTCTCGAAAATACGCACAATATATAGACATTTTAATCAACGAATTTCAATTACGATTCCAAATGTTCAAACCTGAGAAAACAGCAGTTTCCATGAAAATGTTTTCCTAGCTGTTTAATATCAATGTGGATACAGTTCCCAAAGACTTTCAAATGGAAGTGATAGACATGCAGAATAATACCGATTTAAAAGATGTATTGTTTCTCAGTAAACATCGAAAATTTTTATAAATCTTATGTGAGCCCTGAAAAATTTCCGCTTTTGACGAAAAATGAAAATGTCAGTAATATGTATGTATGCGAACATTTATTTTCAACCATGAAATTAATCAAAAACGACCACCGATCAAGACTGAGTGATGGATGATTAGAAAGCTGCATACGTGTAGCTTCCTCATCTGTTCCGGCTGATATAGATCAGCTTGTATTGAAAAAACAGTGCCAAATTTCTCATTAAAAATTTCAAGTAAATTAGTTTCTCTGCTCTTTCCTTGTTTGTTTTTATCTTGCATTAAAATTTATATATGAAATCTTTACTTTTTTTATCTAAGGGTGCAAGGTCAGGACTATATGGTGGATCCATTTACACTTCCCAACCAAGTTCTCTCAATTTTTGCTGAGTGGCCAAACGTGTGTGGTCTGGCGTTATGATGAAAGGCCACTCCTTTTCTGTTGATTAATTCCGGCCGTTTTTTCTCAATTTCTTGCTTAAGGCTCATCAGTTGTTGGCAGTAGAGATGCGAAACGATGGTTTTGTCCGGCGGTAAAAGCTCATAATAAACAATGTCCTTCCAATCCTACCATACACATAGCATCACCTTATTGTGATGCTATGTGTATGGTATCAGTAATCCGGGTTTCGCTACAGTCTGTTGGAGCTTGACCACTCTTTGGCCATGATCTTTTTCGCACGTTCTTGTTGTAGGTGATCCACTTTTCATCACCAGTGATCAATCTTTTCAAAAATGGTTCGATTTCATTACGTTTCAATAGAGTATCGCAAATGAGTAAACAATTCATTAGATTTCTTTCAAGCCAGACTTTTTCAAATGACTCAAAACTGTTTGTGGTTAATCCTCAATTCCTCGGCTGTGTCGTGACTACTAATATGCCGACTTTGCTGCACTTTTTAGGGTTCCTTACCTCAAAAGGAAAAAACGGAACCCTAATAGGATCACTTTATTGTCCGTCTGTCTGTCTGTCTATTAAGACCCGTTTTCTCAGGAACGCGTAGAGGTATCAAGCTGAAATTCATATCAAATACTCAGGTCTACTGGTCCTTGGAGCTGTGAAAAAATCAAACTTCTAAGCCAACGCAATCAAAAGATACAGCCGTTTATGCCGCAAATTTTCGACATTCGCAAGGGAATCAAAACCTACAGGCTACTTCCCGTGAACACAGAATCTTGAAATTTGGTACGAAACAACGTTTTATAGCACAGATAAAGGAAAAATTGCGAAAAGCATAAATTTTTAGTTACATCATATAATAAAAATATTTTTAATAATTTTAAACTTCCTAACCTACGGATTTGTTCGGAACCCTCGGTGCGCGAGTCCGACTCGCACTTGGCCGGTTTTTTTCAAAAATTACATCTATGTTATTCCGTACGGCCTACCAAAGCGAGCTGCATCTTTGACATCAAAATTCCCGGATACAGCATTAGCTCCATAAACGTTATAAATTTAATTTCGCGGATTGTGAATCCCATTCAGTCATCAAATTATATTTATAAAAAGTTATAAAATAAACATATAAAATTTCAAATAAAAAAAATTAGGTTTTATTCAAGATAATTCGTCGTTAACGCCACAAAGGGGCGAACCTCTATTTTTCTGCCGACTTCCAAAAAGGAGCCGGTACTCAATTCGACTGTATGTTTTTTTTTTTTCGTTTTTTTATTTTTATGTGTGTTACCTCAGAACTTTTTTCTGGGTGAACCGATTTCGATGATTCTTTTTTTATTTGAAAGCTGGTACTTCTCGTGTGGTCCCATATGAATTTGATCAAGGTCAGACCAATAGTTTTTAAGTTATTCTTAAATAACTTATATTGAAGTCGGCTGTACAAAATTTTTAATTTTAAATTATTAAATTACAGGAGAGCAAGGAAACATTTATTGTTACCCTATTACTATCTTTTTTTCTTCAGAAAATTAATCTTATTTGTAGTTTTCCATTAAGTCATATTTAATTTTCCGATAAAAAAAAGTTAGTAATCGGGGAATAATAAATGCTTTCTTTCTATCCTTTAATTTTTTAAAAATTGAAGTTCGCCCCTTTGCCGCGTCAGCGACGAATTGTGCAGATCACATTGGTTATAATCAAAACATATTCTTTATGAGGCAAAAGTTATGTGGCAGTACAGTTTATACGTAGTAGAGCCATGCTACAGCTATATTAGTAGTATAGTTGTAGCACGAATGGGTCGGCTCGACCGGGGAAGGACCACGCTCTCACAGAATAGCAGCTTATAGAAATACAAATAGCAGCTTAACACTGCTGTCTTTCATATGGTGAGTGTAGAGAACTGGAGACCCATTTTACTGGAAAAGAGGCATTCTATCTTAGTCCTCACGGGTGACAATGCATCTGCATTTTGATTCAAGGATGAATGTAGATGTCTATGGGCCACAGCAACCACTTATCATCTGGTGGACTGTGTGCTCGTTTGTCATCCTATCCTATAAAAAAAAAATATTGAAATAGCTGGTAGCTGACTGAATTTTTCATAAATATAATGTCCATGGCCACTATGTTAGGTTGTAAATAATATATACAGGAACACTCCATCGTATTTCCCATTTGCATCTAATGTAGACTTGGATACAATAATCGCAGTTATATCTAGAGATTGAAAGATAATATTTAGAGACCTATAATTTGTTACTTCCTAAAGATTGGATGGCAGTTTCTCCACTGGCCCACAATTCAATATCACACATATTGTCGAATGAATCACACTAATTTGTTGTCACTAATAATAACACATATACATGTTTGTGTTTTTTCAATGTCAGGTAGAAGAAGAAGTTTTGGAATCACTGGTATGGACATCTGACAGTCCACTGTGGGACCAACTCAGTAAAACACCAGTACCCGCCTCCACTGAAGTATATGTACAGGAATCTCCGCATTTTCGTCGGAATATAGGTAAGTAAGCAATCTATATATTGATATGTGAAATTAAAAATTTGTATCCCTTTTTTAATATTGCGGGCAAGGAGGAGTGTGAGATTAGTTAATGTTTACATGGAGAAGGAGTGCAGAACAACATATGTCAAACATTCATTGTTTACGTTCATATGCCAATGTCAAACACTTAATGGTCTGTGGTCACATTTCCATAGAGTAGAGATTGTTGAAATGTTGCCAATAAATAATCACCACTTAATTTCGTGTGCTTTTAAATGTTCATTTTTCAACAGTCTGTGGATTGTATGTAAAAGAGTTTACTTTATATTTTGTATATGAGATATCTGTGTTTTTATGTGCTTTTGAAAGTGAAATACACTTGCTTTATATACAACCTTAAAAATTCAATGAATCATGGTCAAATTTAGACATCTGGGCAACCACTAGTATACATATTCTTTTATTAATTCATATTGTTAATGTTATCATATTTATGTTTATAAAAATATCTTTTATACAAGAAGAGTTACTAGGAGAGGTTCAGTGGATTAGAAACTGGATTTACCAAAGATTCAAATAAATCCCAGAAAACAAATGAATGATGCTAAAACCATTGTAAATTGCTCACTCGGTCACATAAAATTCAAGTGACAGTTGCACAATTTGTTACAACTACAAATGTTTCACCTTGCAACCTGCCGATTGCATCTGGTCTTATGTTTCATTCCAGACACTTGTGTAAGGATACAAGGGGTTTGGCTAGGTTTTGTATACTAAAATACTGCAGCACAATTTGCTTGGTGATTTTGACCTTTATCAATTGCTTGTTATGCAACAACACAAATTTGAGCATTACATTACTAGTGAGTACATCAAGCTGATTGCTATAATAACAAGAATAGGCACGGATCCATGCATGTATTTTATACTACCGGTCCAAGCAGTAGGAATTATGTTGGGCTAAGCATAATGTAAAGATTTTAACCAGAAAACTTCCCCAAAAGTTAAACTTCGTCTGTCGCGTAGGTCTTTACCTGATGTGACATTCACGCTATAAAATAATTATCATCATAATGTTGAAAGTTTAATGACTAAAGCGATTGATTACTGTTGCAACAAATTGCTAAAATAGATAAAATATGAAACCACCATAGGTGTAATATTTATTTAGCATACAACAGTGAAAACTCGGCTGTAGGTATTTTTCTTCAAAATACTTAGTGATATAAAAATATTACTAAACTTATTTATTTTCTGTGGTATTGGGTATGATGTCAAATTCCATTTGGTTACAAATTTACAGGAAGTCAAATCTCTCAAACCTACTCGATTAATAAAAGTATAGTTTGTATATTATTTGTAGAGCTGGAATGCAATCACCTGTTTCAGCTGTGATAGACCGTTATCTCGCGCCAATGGCGGACCAAGCAAAAAAGCAGCTCTTCAAAGACAACATCAAGCCCGGCCAGTCATTACTAGGTTTGTGTTTCGTCCAGCTGATCTGTTCAATATGTTTATTTAATTTTTAATTCACGTAGAGCCGATTTTTTAATTCTCAGATAAAATTTATTCACGGACTTAAAACTTAAAATTGTATGAATAAAATAGTTCAATTGGTTCACTTTAATATTTAGTCAGTTATGATTTATTTCATGATTAATTTTTAATATGAGAATTGAAAATTTAGCCCTTACTAAATTTAAATCGCATATTAATGTGAAGTTTAATTCAACAGTACAAACAAACAATGTCACAATAAAGCAAGACGCTGCATGTAGTCCACCGCAGAGCACGTCAAATGGAGAGACGACGCCAAATTCGACGCCTAAGAAAGCACATAATTCCTTAATATTATTCTTTAGAAAGGTATGAGTTCTATTTTGAAACCTCCTTACTAAGATTAGGCGTTTTAAGTTCGTGTACTTGCGAGGTAATATACTGGGTGGCGCCTAGGTTATCACGTTAAATAGCACAGCAGTTTAATACAAGTTGATATATGTCTGTTAAAATAATAAAATAAACAATAATAAAAGAAAAAAAATCATTTTTCAAACAAAATAAATAACGTAAAAAATTGACAAGAAATAAATCACCCTTGATAATATAAGTTTACTGACCTGAAGCGACCTGTAAAACTGGCAACAGCGCTCAGTGCTCACGTGACATCGACATAGGTAATTATAATACCTACACTTGACCATACATAGATAATTAGGTGCGCTATATGCAAATCCGATGTTATCAACGAATCATAAATTTCATGGTATTGTTTTTATCCAAATAATCACTTTAATCTTGAAATCACTCAAGTTTAATAATCAAAACAAATCAAATTTTGAAAAAAAAGAAACATCATATCGGTGTATTCTGACGACGTGAAATTGTGATGCAAAGCATCTTAAAATTTAAAAAAAGTTAAGACGTTAAAAAAATAAAAGCGTGCAATTGCGCACGGGCTGTCATACCACTAAGTTATTAAATATCTAATCTAGCGTATTATTAACGTGTCCTATCACAAACAAATTAAGAAACTTATTAAAATGTCTACAAAACCAAAAATAAACAACAATTAATACTTAAAGGACGTGTTAAAACTTAAAAACAAAAATTAGGTCAAGCGACTCATGAACGATCCCCAAGGACGCCGGCGTCGGACTATCAGTCGCACGCGCGAGACCTAAATATGAATTTTGACACTCCATCCCATTTCTTGTTTCTTCTTTATTTTAAGTTAATTTTTCGCTTGAATTTGTTTTGACACACCCGCAGCGCGCGGTCCCTTTGTTTTTAATTTCTCGCATAATATTGTTAGCCGTAAGTACATTTTTTGCTTGACTTTTTCTTTAGTAGTATTTTCAATTGGCAACGTTTAACTAGAGGTACCTATATTCGCCTTCGAACGCCATGGGTCTTTGACCTTCTAGTATTCATCAGGTGATATCTGTGTGCATTTACATGACGTTATTTAATATTAAAACGAAAAAATGCTGCGGCGACTAAAATATTAATTGTTATATGTTTTTTTAGTTGTGTATGTTTAAGGAAATATATTATGTAGGATACGTCTTTTCATTTAATGTGATAACTTTATCGTCACTCGGTATTAATAACAATTAAAAAGTTTTTCAAATTGGTAATATGCAATATTTACTCATTGTAAATTATAATTTCAAATGTCAACAATATTTTCATACCAGTTTTAATCAGAAAAATTGTTATTACAAATTAATAGACCAAAAAATATTAAATTTATTGTGCAAATAAAAATATACTGACCTAATTTGAATAGCTGACAACACAGATTTACTTGTTATTCTGCCAGAAGTGTTATGCTGATAGCCGAGTAATACGTATGTAATAATAAAAATAGGCACAAAACTTTAAGAGTATTTTAGGAAAAATATCACTTTTTTATTCCAGTTTTACAGCTTGGCAGTGGTGCGCATGATTGACTTGTGCACACGATTGAGGCTCACCGACGAGGAGCTGAAACGAAAAATCTGGACCTGTCTGGAGTACTCCATCATACACCAGACACAACTCATGAAAGACCGACATCTAGACCAGATACTCATGTGTGCAGTTTATGTTATCTGTAAGGTGAGAGTAAATATAATAACTGTTATTCAATATAGATATTAATTGATAGTTATTTTTATTTTCCACTAGCTACAAAATACCCATAATTATGCTCTTAAAAAATAATCCTATACTTTATGTAAATGTATATATATATATATATATATATTTCCTCTTCTTCTGTAGATATTCTCCACACAATTGATATGTAATTTCATTAATTGATTTATATTCAAAAAGGAACTGACCTTTACCAGAGCTTGACTACAATCCCACCTAGTGGTAAGTGGTAGAGATAGATAGTAAATCGCACTGTCTCAGCGTAACAAAATTCATTCACTTTTGCCTTGAAGACACCCAGATTGTAATCAAATGGAAAAACAGACGCTAGCTAATTATTCCCCTTGCCTTGCACGAATGATGGAAGAAGAAGCAAACCATTTGGTTTGATTGTGTGGAAAAAAATCAGCATGCAGTAACTATTACATGTATGTAGCAGTTTCTAATATGAATGCCATGCTTACAAAGTCTATATGTAGTGTTTTGTTATTCCAGGTGTCAAATAGTGCAAACAATCAAGTTGAGAGAACATTTGCGGACATCATGAAATGCTATAGGCAGCGGCCTTTAGCCGACAATCATGTATATAGATCAGTTTTAATTAAGCCAAGTACAGGAGAGAGTAAGTATTTGACATTTTTTGACAAGACAGACAAAAGTAACCTGTTCTAAAATATGATTAAGACCAAATATTATGTTAATGGAATATGAAAACTTTTTCTACAATTGCCAATCTCACACCCACATGCCAATTGAAGAAAAATGCTAAAGAATGAGTCTCTGGCGACCGACTAATTTCGGAAAACGCATACAATAAACCCTGAACCCAAATTTCATAGAGTTAATGGGAATCAGCATTACCATTGCAAAAGTATAAACTTTGCTAAAAGTAATGAACAATCACACACCTACATGTATCTTTGATTAAGAATCAAAACGCCGATGCTTTGTTATCCTTTAGAAGTAAAATAGAAATGTTTGTATTTAAATGGAATGTAAAATAGTAACCAGTTAAAAGGAAAAAAACATTTCTCATCTATCACTGAGCCGCAGCCCTGATAAGAAAAGGATCTCAGCGCTATGCTGATATTATATCCTTCTTCAGTTCTTGCTGTAGCCATAACTTGCTGCAGCATGATCCTACCACATAATTAATATAAAAAAGCACTCCCAAAACTTTGCATTGCTATTTTCATGATATTATTTTACATTTATATCATAAATTGTTACAGATTCACCTGAGAGAGGAGATTTAATCAACTTTTATAATAAAGTGTATGTGCAATGCATGCAGAATTTTGCTCTAAGGTTTACCGGAAAACATAAAGACGTGAGTTACCTAGCTATTTCAGATAATACTATTAATAACGCAGCAGTGTGTAAACAATCCATTGTTGTGTATGAATCACGTTTTGTGGCATCTTATCAAATATAAAATATCAAATAATAGATATGAACATATATCATAATATGCAACAATACCTGCGGTAGTAAGTATACATATCAAAAGCGATATTAAAAGTGATAATTTTTAATCCTTCATCTACATATCCGAAGTGATCTCTTTAACACAAGTTGTTTAAGCTCCGATAGCCCGCCCATACATTTTTGTCTGTACATATACGCTAAACACACACTATTTGGTCAAAACTATTCATTTTATCACTTTTCTACACTGAAATGTGCGTGTGGTTGAACTTTTTAGGAAAGAACTTACAGTATATAATAAGAAAAACAATAGTGAAATCTAGGAAAATTTTGACACTTCTTTTAGTAGTGTGATTTTGACAAGCAAGTGCCAAAAGCATAGTTTGGACATTGGCACGCTAGATCGTGCGCAGACGATATTATAATATTCTATAAATCAATATCTTATATACAAAATTGATTTATTTCCTTTCCTACCGTTCATTAAAAACACTATAAAATAACATAAAACTGACGACCTTTGAGAGCAATGTAAACAATTTTATTTCTGTTGTGTGGCGCCATAAGTACCATTATTCGTAGGTAGGTATTATGCGACGATGCCGTCCTTCCTAACATTCACCTACACGCACTACGTTGTAAGCAGAAAAACCGCAGCCTAACTTCGTTTGATTGTTCGACTGTGTGAAATACATTCTGAAGTAATTTTCGATTGTCACGTGATAGAATTTGCGCGCGGAACTTCTTGTGTGTTATATGTGTTATGATTTTCATTGATTCAATTTGTAATATTTCTAATATGTATTTGATTCCAATATAATAGAATATATTGTAATTTATTGTAGGTATAGTAATTAATGAATTTTTCAACAAACTATGGAGAATTTACTTGCTGGTATAGAGGGTACTGGTATATTTTGGTTACGGGCCCCACAAAAGCAGTACATATGAAACCTCTAGAGCAAGTGTTAAGTAGGTTACAGGATGCAGGGTTACAGTTAAAAGCAGAGAAATGTGAACTATTTAAAGACTGTTGAATATTTAGGTTTTATTATCGATAAAACGGATCTCCGGAAATCAAAACAAAAAGTAGATGCTATATAAAAATGATAAAAATTGAAGCGAGTTAAAGTCAGTTCTAGGCATGATTAATTATTATAGATGTTTTGTACCGAACACATCTGCATTACTTAGGCCTTTGCATTCCTTACTTAAAAAAGGGAGAAAAATGGAAGTGGAGTAAGGAGCATGATAAGGCGTTCGAATTGACAAAGAAAGAACGTCGCGTCGGACCGAGTGCGGGCTCACTACAACGCGTCGCTGCCGGCGACCGTGACGGCAGACGCGGGCCCGAGTGGTCTGGGTGCGGTGCTCGCGCAGAGTCACCGGACGTCACGGAACGCGTCGTAGCCTATGCCTCGCGTTCACTCACTCAGCCGGAATGCTATTATGCTCAAATTCAAAAGGAAGCCACCGCTATTATATTTGCAACTAGCTGTTCCCCGCGACTTCGCCCGCGTGTAATTTAGGGTTTTAATTTTGTTGTGCGGAACACTAATTATTTTTCTAAAATATAAGCTTAAGTTACTCCTTATAACATTAGCTATCTACCATCGAAAGTCCCGTCAAAATCGGTCCAGCTGTTTCGGAAATTAGCCGGAACAAACAGGAAGAAAGACAGACAGACAAAAATGTTAAAAATCATGTTTTTGTTATAAGTACCGTGTATACTTTTATATGCATATAGTAAAATCCTATTATTTCGATATTACAAACAGGCACTTCAATTTTATTTATTTGTATAGATTAAAAAATTCCACCACTATTTGTATGGCTGAACGGTATCGTTTATCCTAAGGACATAACATAAGCCCTTACTAACCATTTTCGAAAACAAAAAGGTATACCTGACATGGCGGCTAGTCGGCTTAAACGTTACGCGATCTTTTTTTAATTGCCTATAATTTCACATTAGAGTATGTTAGAAGTGACAGCAATACGACTGATTTCTTATCGCGATGAATGCTCGGATCTTGATAAAACATTGTATATTCATTTTATAGATAACTCAGTTTTAAAACCAATAACTGTGGAAGATATAATAAAAGAAACTGTCTTTTAAAGAATATGTCAAAAATTATTCCAGAATGGTTAAAAAGTTAGCTCCACAGCCAAATCGTTACATATTAGCAACAAAATAAAGACGGCTAAGAATAAAATTAAAATGACTTAGAGTATAATTAACAACGAAACTGGTAAAGACAAACCTCGTAACTCAAACTATGAATTAAAAATTAACAATGAATTGACTAAATCAAATCAAGAAGTCGCAGCGGTGTTTGAGAAATATTTCACTGATATTCCTATCTTGACAACAGACTCACACAACAAACACTCACGCCTGTCACCCAGAGCGGTAGGCAGAGACTACGGACTTTCATTTGGTGCGATCCTGACATACCTCTCTCGCCTCCTTTACATCCATATATCTACGCATACACGCTCGTCGGTTAAGGGTACTCCTAATCTGGCCCATTTTTAATGTATCTCCGATTTGGTCGATAAATCTTCGTTTAGAGCGTCCCTTCTCGACCCTGCCATTCACTTCTGCAACATAAATTTGCTTTGTCACTCTTTCCTCATTCATTCTTTCTACATGACCAAACCACCGAAGCATTCCTTTTTTAATCCTTGTCACAACGTCATCTTGCAAACCACACTTTTCTCTTATCACACTATTTCTCACCCTGTCATTCAGATACTCCTTAAGGACCGCATTTCTACAACATTTATTCTACTCTCATGCTTCTTCTGCCAGACCCAACTTTCACTACCATACATTAAAGTAGGGACTAACACAGCATTATGATTTGCCATACGTGCCTTATTTGACACATTCAGACTTTTCACAATAGTGTGTAGAGCCCCATTCACTCTATTTTCTGCGTTCACTCGTCGTTCTATATCCTTATCATATCTACCATCCCTGCTAAATAAACATCCCAAATATACAAACTCATCCACTTGCTCAATCAATTCCCCTTCTATTCTTATTTCAAATAACGTCTTACTTTCTGCTCTTTCAAAAACCATCACTTTCGTCTTAATTGCGTTCACTTTCATAACCCTTTCTTTCAATGACCAGTTCATTAAAGTAACTATCACTTGCAACTCGGCCGCCGACGATGCAAATATGACTTGATCGTCGGCGTACAAAAGGCATTTGACGGTTAACTCACCCATTCGCAACCCACATTCTTCAACTTCCAAAGTTTGCAAACAACTGTCCATAAATAGGCTAAACAGCCACGGGGAAGCCACACATCTCTGTCTGACACCTTTATGAATGCCAAACCAGTCCGAGTAGACCCCGTTGATCCTGACACAAGCACTTGAGTCCCTATAAAGAGACCTTAATGCCCGTATCAAGCCAGCGCTCAACCCAAATGAGTGTGTTTGCCGTAACACATTCCTGTCCACTCTGTCATAAGCCTTTTCCAAGTCCACGACCGCACAAAAAAACATTCTGGTTTTTGGCCAAAAACTTCTCCGCAATCATGCGCATGGAAAAGACTTGATCCGTACACCCAATCCCCTTTCTAAATCCGGCTTGCACATCCCAAATTTTTCCATCAGTTTCTTCCATAACTCTTTCAATTAACACCTTAGCATACAGTTTACCCACAATGCTAAGCAAGCTGATACCACGGTAGTTTTTACAGTCCTGCTGCGACCCCTTTCCCTTATATATTGGGACTAATACGGCTTTGCTGCCTTACCTGCTTTCATGCTTTTCATTGCTTTCACTATTTCATCTACACTTATCTCCCTACCTCTCTCCACTTCTTCCGGAATTTCTATTTCACTTACTTCAGACGTTCACTCTTAAACACGCTTTCAAAGTATTCCTTCCATCTCTTTAAATTCGAAACTTCATCATTCAGCATGCAGCCATTCTCGTCTCGTATAGCATTCATTCTAGGCTGTTTTGAATTTATTAGCCTGGAAGTTATCAGATATTCTTCTATCATTCTTATCTATCCTTTCAACAACTTCTTTTACTCTCTTATTTATATGTCTAAAGTCTGCCTTTTTTCTTTCAATCTCATCATTCATACCGCCAGAATTACCAAATTTGGTTGCTTTGGTTTTTACAGGAACGGGTGACAAACGACCACACAGTCCACCTGATGGTAAGTGGTTACTGTGACCCGTAGACATCTACATCTATCTTCAATAAAGACTCAAGATGCAGATGCGTTGTCACCCGTGAGGACAAAGATGGAATGCCTCTTTGCCGGTAAAAAGGGTCTCCGGTTCTCTACACTCACCATACGAAACACAGCAGCTGCTATTTTACGTTGGTTTTCTGTGATTCCAGAACATTTTAATATTTGCCTGGAAGTTAGCAGATATCCTTCTATCATTCTTATTCGTCCTTTCTTCCTTTTTCTTTTTAACAGATTTTTTTTTCCTTTTAACAGATTATTTTACTCTCTTATTTATTCGTCTTAAGTCTGCCTTTTTTCTCATCTCATCATTCATACCGCCAGAATTACCAGATTTGGTTGCTAGTTAATCTAGCCATGCTTTCTTCTTTGCTTCAACTTCCATCCGTACCTCATCATCCCACCACAACGTATTACTTTTCCTTTCATTCTTTCTCTTACTTACACCACATACTTCGATGGCTGCATCCACCAAAACTTTCTTAACATTATTCCATACCGTCTTCAAGTCTAAATCACTCATACATAATTCATTCAAACCACTTATACTTTCCCTCAGTCTACATTTATACTTCTCTTTTACACCTTCATCTTGTAGCCTCTCCATTCTTATACGCTCTAATGCAGTGGTAGACACAGATGTCCGATGCCGCCAACGCCTGAATAGACCTTT